TATTGGGGGCAGGTTTGGGGGTGTGGGATGATATTGGGGGCAAGTTTGGGGGTGTGGGACACCATGGGGGCAGCTTTGGCAGTGTAAGATGACATGAGGGGCAGGTTTGGGGGTGCACGATGACCTGGGGGGCAGGTTTGGGGGAGCAGAGACCTGCCTTTGAGGGTCTGATGCTTACAGAGTCCCATGCGCTTCCCTTTCACTGACTCCGAAGATGCACAAATTTAGAGAGAAAGGGTACGAAATTAAGAACAGGAAAAGTCATGGGGGCAGCTTTGGCAGTGTAAGATGACATGAGGGGCAGGTTTGGGGGTGCACGATGACCTGGGGGGCAGGTTTGGGGGAGCAGAGACCTGCCTTTGAGGGTCTGATGCTTACAGAGTCCCATGCGCTTCCCTTTCACTGACTCCGAAGATGCACAAATTTAGAGAGAAAGGGTACGAAATTAAGAACAGGAAAAGTTTGCCTAAGTAGCAGTTTGTTTCTTTGTTTGTTTGTTTTGTAATTATCCACCTTACTGGAGTGAGAAGAGTTTCATTTCAAAATAAAACTCCGTCAGGTTGCACAAAGTGGTGTTGTAAACAATCCTGTAACTCCACGAAGGGGGCCAGGTAACAGGGCTTTACAAACTATGCCTTTTCTTGGGAAATTTGTAGCTTTGCAGCTTTTTGATGCAGGTCACAGCAATGTGAACTCGTGATGTGGCCTTCATAAATCAGCAGGTGCTCTCAGCGAACCTTATGTGATGAAGTGCTCAGACCTTTGGGCCGGTTAAATCTCCCGTTATCTGTAAGAAGCACAGCGCAAGTTCTAAATTTGTAAACCAAACAGTGAAGGTGACCCTTGAATTTCATATTGGACTATTCTGTGGAGTGGCTTTGAGTGGGAAATGAAAACCTCTCATTTTTGCCCTCCTTGTGAGATAAGCCTTGAGGAATAAGAGTTCCTCTTAGGAAGTATGATAAGCAGGAGCACCTGCATGGAGATATTGAGGGGGCAGGTACCTATGGCCCGAAGAAGAAGTGAGCGCTCTTCTTGGAACTGTCTGCTTCAGGCATGGGAGAAGAGACTTTTCCTGATGTTTCCAGAATGGTTTAATGGTCAGCAGTTCTCTTGCTTCCTTTCTCTTGTAGGTCATATACTTTCTGGTCTGATTTGTCACCCCGATAAGGAGCATGTTCTTTATCCTCTGGGATGTACTGTAGTTATTCAAGACATGGCCAATAGCAAGCAGACTTTCTTGCACGGCCACACCAACAACGTCTCCTGCGTGGTCGTGTCGAAGAGTGGAACGCTTGTTGCCTCTGGACAAGTCACCTTCATGGGGTTCAAGGTGGATAATGCTTTATTTTTAACTGTATAATTGACTACGGAAATTGGCGTTCGCCTGCCAGCTGTGGGAACACCTTTTGTTTAAAGAATAAATCTTTTGCTGGAAAACAAATGCCTACAGTGGGAGAGCACTGCAGGGGATGGGAAACTGTGGTTACTCTATTGTTGAATGTGCGTATATATTTTTACATGGTATTAAGCATTCCGCCTAGGAACAGGGTAACTAGGTTAAGGCCTTTCTTAGTTCCAGTCCTTTTTATCAAAAGTGTCATGAGCATGTGGCAGCCTAAAACTTATTTGACATTAATTAATAAATGCTGTCATATTTAAAATGGGACCTGAGTTCCAGAACTGCTTAGGATTTTCAGAAGCCCTTGACAGGTACCTGCATTTTTAGATCACTGAAGTTCCCTATGTTTTTTTTTTTTTTTTTTTGCCTATTTGAAAAGACCCTGAGACACTTGAAAGGAATCAATCTTTAACATCGTCCAGTATTTTAAAATCTAAGACAAGTACCATTCCATAAATCAATGTAACTAGTTCTTTTCATGCCAGAGAACTTCAGCATGTTATATCTAATGCTTGGGCTTTGACCTCTTCTGCTTTGGGCCTCAGGCAGACATCATTTTGTGGGATTTTAAGAAGGAGGAGCAACTTGCTCGGCTGTCGCTTCATAAGGGTAAAATTGAAGGATTAGCGTTTTCTCCGAATGACCTTTATCTCGTGTCACTGGGAGGCCAGGACGATGGCAGGTAACAATTTCCAATTTCCACTTTGTAGGGCATCTGAGAATGCTGCTTAAGGAGTACTTACTTTTCCTTCTTCTGGCAATGTTGTTCTTTCCCCTTCTCAGCATGTCTCCTGAGATAATCCCGTTTCCCATTCTTCCTGACAAGAAGCGGGGTTGGTACCACCAGTAGAGTGGCTGTAAGGCAGGAGCAAGCAGCTGATGGGAAGCAGAGGGAGAGCAACTAATTCTTAAGTTGGCATTGTCACCGAGAAATGATACGTAGACTGGACTGTTAACTGGCTTACTCTATTGTCCTGAGAAAGTATAAATTCCCCTAAGAGCTTACTTTGACAAGCAAGTAAGATGGGAAAAAAAGTTACTTTAAATCGGTGTCCACCAGTGGCCTGAGATATGACTTGAGTCTTGCTCAAAAGAAGCCTTAAGACAGAAACACATACTCACCTTAGGAACAAGAGATGTAAACTGCAATTCCGAGTATTTGCGGTAGGGCTTTTCTTAGATAAAATATCTACAACGTGACTTTTATTGTATGTTCTTCTAGCAGCAGACTGCAGGAAAATAGGCTTGTTCTTGTTTTTGTGATGAGTTTTTAAGTGATATTAAAAGACTGAAAACACTTAAAACCCCTCCTTCTTCTGCAGTGTGGTTGTATGGAGCATTCCTAAGAAAGAGGCCGTGTGCGGCAGCCCTGCTTCAGCTCGAAGCGCTGGGAACGCTTCGGTGCTGGCATTCTCCAGATGCAGAGATGAGATGTTTGTTACTGCTGGAAAGTAAGGTTTTGTTTACGTGACAAGAACTCCTATGAGGCAGAAAACCCATAGACCTATTTCCTTTTACAAAGACTCTTTACTTAAATGCAAGGAAAGTTAAGCATCAGACTGTTCAAGTATCTTTCTTTTTGCTCTGAATGGACCCATGAATATCCATCAACTTGTCCCTTTAAGGCATTTCTGCTTGTTCCTCACGTAAGAGTATGTTTTCAAAGCCGCACATGGACCAGCACGTGTCACTTCCTGATAGCAGGAGTTTGTACTCAGTATTCCCCAGGGTTTAAAACATTTAGTTCTCAGTGTTTACAAGAAAAGCAGTCAATGAAGAGCTTGAACAATGCCTTATTAATGTAGAAACAATGATATCTCACAGGTTGTTGGATCATCTCCTATCCTCACCAGATGTGATATACAATTGCTTACTGGCTTGTACCAAAAGTTGATACAGAGTCACATTTTTGCATGGATTTGATACAGCCCTCATGTATCTAGCCTGACATTTGAAGGTGCTGAGGACCCTTTGAATTAGGGAGCAACTTTAGATGCTCTTGGCTGCAGTTGCATTTATAAATGATGATCTTTGCAACTTTAACACTCTGTAAAATGTAAGGGGGGTTGTGTGTGAAGTTATTGTATTGGCTTCTGTGTTGTCAATTAAACTGTGCTAGAAAATGCTTGAAGGTGTCCTGTACTGTTCATTTCCTATTCTAAGAAACAAGATTCCCACAGTGCATGTCTCTGGGAAATGAAGTGTCAAGGTTGTTACATACTCCCCCATAGTCCGAGTATG